CCCCAAAACCCCAAAACCCCAAAACCCCAAAACCCCAAAACCCCTCTATTTACTATTTATATTGCTAAAACTTAAAGTTCCTAGAAAATGAATCCTAATTCTACCTCAACAAAGAGGCAAATGTTGTATATGAAGCAGAGAACTGCCAGCAAAGAAATTGTAATATAAAATTCTGATCTTTAGACTCTTCAAAAGCCTCTCCGTAAGTGCAAGCAGACAAATCAGAATCAGACATGCGTCAAGGGACAAGTTCCTCTTCTGAAAAAGTAAGCCAAATATGGATTTTAATAGAATCATGATTTTAAGAGGGTTTCTTTGATGAACTTTACCAACCTATATTTAGTGTGACTCGTAACCTAAGTCTAACAGACCTATTGAACCAGAAGAATACCAGAAATCTTGGAAAGAAAGCATACCACATTGGGAGCTTAAGCAAAAACGTTATGAAGACTTATCAAGAATTGGATAAACCTAGGTTTGGAAACACTCTCGTGAATCGTGCCAAGAATAAAGAACTCGGCATGTATATTGAGAAGGCAACAAGGATGATTAGAGAGCTAAGCAGAAGCAAACCTAACAGCGAGCATAACTCTATTTGTAGAAATCAAGATGCTAGCGGTGACGAGGGTAGTGAAGTATGAGTATTCTCTCCCTTAATTCCTTCTGCCAAGATTAGTCTGGATAAGGATGACAGCTCATTGTGTCAATCTGAAAATAGTGGATATGGAGCAACTCATGCTAGAACAAGAAGCTCTAACCCAAATCCTATAATGAACCATATTCCTTTCGGAGGTTTAAACCACAAAGGATCATCTAAACCTAATACACCAATGAAGAGGTTCAAGCCAAACTATAGAGGATCCTTGAAGTCTAGCATGAAAAGAGAAACTGAGGAGCCTAAAAAGATGATAAATAGTTCTACAGGGAAAAACTTGTCAATATCGGATGACTCACCTTTTCAAGTAAAGAGTGGGTACTCTAAAAACAGTAAATATCTGAAGCAGACAAAGAAGGTGCGCTTAAATCTGAGCTCTCAGTAAGTGCAGGTTATTATCTTTTTAGGAAATCTCTGAAATCCAATTATTCATCAACTCTTGCGACTGTGGAAATTTTACCCAAAAAAATTCAAATTAATATTTCTAATAAAGATGTGTGTAAAAGCGTAAGATGTTGTGAGAAATCTGTAGAAAACCCAGGTCCAGAGCGAACGAAGAGAGCCATCGATAAAGCCAACAGTTAGCCACAAGTTCAAAAACAAGATTGATAGGCTAGCTAACGAGTATGAGGAAAGCATCAAGTCAAAAAGAAGTACCCAATGTAGTGAAGAAGCTTATAAAGCTAAGGGATATTCAGGATTGAGTAAAGAAAAAGTAAGAGTGTGGTATAAAAATAAATAGTTTTCTAAATACGACAACTTCTCAAAAGCTTCAGATTATGCAAGGAAATCTCTGCCCTCAAGTATTCAGGGATCACTCGCTTGCTCAAGAGCAAACAGTAAGGGAGAAGATATTCGCAGATCAAAGAAGTATGAACGCTAAACCTTATATCATAGCTTATATTGCACTCAGAAATATCCAAATAAGGCTCAACAAAAGAAGGGAATCCATTTCAAATCACTAAAAAGCATGAGGCCATGCACTTTCGCAGCAGAAACCTTCAGAATGCAGCATACAAATGCAAACAGTCTACAGCAGTACATTACCAGTGGCCGACTTAACAAAAAGTTTTAGGCCTGTTTATTTCCTCACTCACTATTCAACTATTTATTGTCAGGAGGGGTTTTGGGGTTTTGGGGTTTTGGGGTTTTGGGG